CTTTTTTTTGTATTAGTCAGAGATCAATGTTATATAAGAACTGCGATAGTTGGTCGAAAGGTAAATATGCAGGTGGTTGCATGTAACGTCTACCTTTGAATCGTCTCTCGGAGTATTAACGTAGCAATGTTTTTATGGTGCGACAAGTTTTACTTACAGAACAAAGTGAATTAAGGCGTAATTTTCTTTCCACCACCGAATATAAAGATCATCCTATTCATAGTAAACAATGAACTGCAGTTACAGGAATTACAGTGAAGGCACTATTGTCCTTAGAAGTATTTTTTTTTCTAAAGAATAACAACTGCCAGTTTCCTTTCTCAAATTTAGTAATTACGATAATAAATAGCCTAGCTTTCGTGCTGAAAAAGTGACACATGCTGAGTGAATCGCAAAGGCTTTTCTGTTGTCAAAAATAATCTAAACGCTTCAGAACTGCATTAACTTAAGGAAGGAAGTAATGAGTTAAGAGGAGGCCGGTCAGACTCTCACGCTGTACTACTTTATCTTACCTTCAATATGAATATATAAGCGTGCCTTTGTAAACGGATAGGCCAAATAAACTCGGAGATAAGACGCTACTACTAGAGGTAATTACACGGTGTCCTGATCTCATTTCCTAGCACGTTGACATCAATAAAACGAAGTTAGGGGCCTACAGTGAATACTCTATACACTAATCACTCAAGAGTTCTTCAACAACCTACACCGACGCATAGACCGCTTGAACACTGAAAGAGGATGCTTTACCAAATATAGATAAAATAGAATCTAACTAGATTAGATGTGTGTTACTCCACGCTTAATCTGTTGAAGCTGTCCACCTTATAGCAACGAGTGATATTTACTTCGTCGCAAGCCCAATGTTCCGGGTTTTTAGGATTGCCGTTAACGACTACATTTTTATCAAGCCTAGTAATTTTTTAGAGCGTAAACGGTTAGGGCTGCTGAATGTCCACATCTATTTGATTGACAGAAAATTTCGACATTCTTTCAAGTTGACCGCTGCTTTGCAACCCATGTTAAGTTAGATCTATTTAATTATAAAGTGCCACATTTAGCGGCGCTTCGTATTACCGTAGCGCGTTTCCAGATCTTAAACTCCTCGTTGATCAACTTTGGTCTAAGGAAGCTGCTTAAGGTGTAAACAACGAAATTTTCTTGCTTCGAAGAATAACTTTTCGTAAAGGAGTTACTCTGCATCTGCACTCGGTAACTATTAGTTGAAGCTATGGAAGACTGTATGAACGCTATAGCGTTCCTGTAATAGATCGAACCCAATAAGATTATATAAAGCAAGCCTTATTTGTATTTTGGTGGTCCTGAACTGTGTTTCACCTCATCATGATGAACAGTTGCAGATGACACTTGCTAATAATGAAATCTGACAAGACGTCGATTAAGAAAAGGCTTGAATAATGTTATTCTTTGTGTTTTTAAAGGCTTTTTTTTGTTGATGAGCTAGATTTCAATTAATGTAAACGTCTGAATACGTGTTTCAATACAGATATTTTGACATGTTTACTCATCCGCCATTCACAAGTGAATTGAGAAAATCCTTTTTTTTTTTTATTATAATAAACAATATAATGACTTTGCATAAACAATATCGTTATGTAGTTTGATTCGTTAATGTCTCACTCGAACACGGCATACGAAAAGATTCAGTGAACTTAAATCATGGGTTGAAAGTAGACCAAAAATACGAAAAGGTAAGACACAAAACAATGATAAGAAGACTAGCTGTCGTAATGTGCATGTAACGATTTCATCCTCATTTTCAGCCTCTGATAGATATATATATATATATATATAAAAAAAATCGAAATAAATGTATATATAATCTCGGCGATGTTTATTCTGCCAAGGTACTGGACTATAATAACTAATTATCGTTAGCCTAGATGAACCGATAGCTAGCCGTATTCCGCCATAATCAATTGTTAGTTATACTTCAAAACAAGCAAACCTCCTAACAGTTTTGCGTCTAGAGGGTAAACGCATGTCTATTACAACAAACAGCCCACCAAAATGTCTCTCAGCTACCCTGTATATGAAGAATTAAATATTAACCGGCTATATGTTTCTAGCTAGCGTTAGTCTAAAGTTATCGATAGAGTTCAAAAGCGTGTGGATGCTTTAATATACATAAGATACAGAACTAGAAATTAACTCGCTGTGCCGTAGATTGTGCTTTATCAGCAATAACAGACTGACTACAGCGATAGGATTTAGAGGTAATGTGAAGCAAAGCTAAATGCTGATTACAATATGGTAACGTGCAAGGCTTCTATCGATGGGGCACAGAGTTAAAATGTTACTGGCGGGGTATTCAGTGTGTCTCAAGCCAGCCGGTCGGTCGAAGCTATTGGCCGAAAGTGGCTGGCTTGTTTCTACAGTCTACCTCCATTAACATCCGTTTCTCGATTATCTCTACCTCAAAGCAGAATGTTCCAAATGCATTGTACGTAAGTAGAACCTTCGGAGCTCGCATTGACGTTGTTCGACTGATCTAAGATCCTTTCGCACCTTTGAACCGCGCCTCTTATACAGCTTACCATGTCGATTTGCCTCAGGAGGATATCAGTAAAGATTGTCTTCTTGCTACTCCACCCTAGAGCCAAACTGGGCCGTCTCTCTAGGGTCTGCACCCTGTTTACCACCTTTTCCCATCACCGACCAAAGTTTCGTATGGTATTAAGTATGACTTTCGCTTATAGATTCTATGCAAAGCGAAGTGAAAGTGAAAAATACGTAAAGCCCTTCAGTTTCTAAAATGTTTCTATTTGTCATTATTGCAATATTATACTACGAATAAAATAGCCAGCGTCTTTTTTTGCGTTTGTTTTTAGTGCGGTCGTGCATGTGTGCACAGATACATACGCAACGCTATCTCAGTTGCTGTTTAAAGAACCATACTGTGTGCTATTTGATACCTTTATTATATTACTAGACTAGATTTACCCCCAAGTTTCGTTGCGTACCTTTCAGATTTGATTAGAGGTCTCTAGCGGATATAGGAGAATGAACCGTCAAATGAGGAATCATTCAGTAACTTAATTTGTTTTAGGTGGGAGCGGCATGGTGAAAGGTTGTTCTCAAATGTAGAGGTAGAGACCCTGCACGGGAAGCTATAGTATGACGTCGACTGCGTACAAAGCATTACGTTCCCTTACTTCGAAAGCGTTTGGTTTTATTGGTGCTGCTATTGTTGAAGGAGGGAAGGGTACCAAAAAGGCCAGATATGAACGGCTATGCGTATATTCTCTCGTCGCTATCGGCAGCGCGAGTGCTGAATATTGTCGCATCATCTCACGTATTTTCTATGAAAAAATACTGAACCGTAAAAAAAAGTCGTAGACATGATAGTGGCTTAACCTGTTTCGGTGTGCTGTCCTACGGTGCGCTGTATAAAAATCGAATTCGGATTTCAATATCTTGGCCGTAACCATTCCGCAAAGGTAGGATTTTTGCTGTTCTACAAGCCCATAGATCTGCAGGACTAAATAAATACAGACTTTAATTTGGGTTTTTACATTAGCAGTTCATATATTTAGTTCGGAGGATAGACCATTATTTTTGACGGCTCTTTAATGTTATGCAGTAGCCGTTGAATCCATAATGCTTGCTCAACTATATGCATTTCTTTATGTGAAATGCCGAGTTACTGAAAATCACTTGACGATTCTGGCGCTAAGCTAAGCTAAGCAAAGCAACGGGGTGGTGGCAGGAATCAATTTGTCAAGCCTGCGTGGGGCAACTGATTGGACACCGGTGTATTCTTGCGTTCCTATCAAACGTAATCTGTAGGCAGCACTAAGAACTTAAGTTACTTCTGAGCTTTGAACTCACAGAGAGCATAACATAAGCAGGTACTTTTTAATTACATCTTTTGGAAAAACACTAAACCTATGTTATCGTAAGGAAGTCCTTCTGTTATATGATATGACTTTACAGAACTGCACAACACCCAGTTTCAGAAGGGAGCCGTTTGGCATAAAACGCTGATTCATTTAAATTGATCGAAGTGAATAAATCGGTAACAATAACTCGATTGAAAAGAAGATCTTTTCTATTTGGACACAAAAACCTGCTTCTTTCGTGTACCTATCCCGCATCTTTATCTGTGTACGCATGAGTGTCAGCTGCTCGTACATCGGCTAAATTTAGCCTAAAGCGGAGCATTTCGTAACTAAAGGTTGCCCACTGTCCTTGATTAGGAAAACAACACTTTTTACACTATATTATCTTTGTCTGTATGCGTTAAAGGTATTTTGCTATTGAAACTCTGTAGTTTTGAAAAAAAAATCGAGCTAGTAATTTACTTTCAACCGAAATCCAATCTGGTGAATTAAATTGGTTGTTTCTGTCGATCGTCTATCCACTTTAAACGATATTAACTAGAGCGTAATTTAATTACGTACGCTGTTACTGAGCGTCGATATTTTCTGATTTCATTAGTTTGATCGGCTGAAAATGGTGAAAGCACTCTAAATAGGCGAGACAAAAGCTACTCATCCCGATTCAACGTCCGAGGAGGTCAGAATATTAACAGAAGTACCATGGTACGCTGAACACCTTCCTGTTTTATGTTTTGAACGCGGGTAATGCTGCATGGTTACTGCAGGATGAAGTCCCTGGCTCTTGGAGCCTGAAACATTAGCTTGCCTTACACTCGTTCCTGTGACTGAATGTATATGCAAACGACCCAGCAACCAGCAAATAAAGTCTTGGACTTCTACAGAGCGCTTCAATCTGTCGTGCCGCAAACATTTACATCTTCAACTGAGGCCATTACTCACAAATATTAAGCTGAGATATTATTTGACCTGTAAACGAGAACGCTTCCTTGGTTCTGCATTTTTTTTTTTACTAAAGACATCACATCCTATGTACGCAACGGTCGTCGTTGAAATAGCAATAACTATTACTAAACTAAAATCATAACAGCTGATCGTTTGGTAACCGTAGACAAATTTTATTGACATAGATAATAAAAATCTGCCTAAATTATTCAAGATTATCTCATCAGCTATTGCCTATACGAAGTGTCCAGCAGCACGTATGACCGTTTGCTTCTTCTTTTGATAAGTGGAGCTAGCACTTACTTTACTTCAATTATATATGTCGTGCACTTCTATGTTTACATAATAGCGCTTTAATCACCCCGTCCTCGATACGTAATTTGCGCTTTTATTCTACCTATCTAAAAAGGTGTATCGGCAATCGCTACGAATAATTTTTAGGCCACCGTCGGTGGTGCCTGAGTCAAAACCAATGACTGTGAGTGATTTGTCTCAAATTGATTTCATTCGTACATTGAGACTAAAGTACATTTCGATAAGGGCCCTTTTTTATAATATATATACACACACAATTTAAGATAAATATAGACATTGACATCTTGTACTGATTGCTCTCTCTAATGTGTCATCTATATATATATATTTGGCGAAGCCGCATTATGGAAGGTTATCGCTTTTTCCTGTACTGTCGATTTTATCTTGTATGTTTTTGGGTGCGTTGGTTTTGCCATATCACGCGCGTTTGCCCTACTGGTAGCTGTAAATGTATGTATAAAAAAAAGTGGTAGATCTACGCCTTCTTTTCCTACTATTATTGTTATCATAGATTATTTCCCGGCGTTCTACATCGTCGATATACTAAGAAAGAAAATATGACTGAATTAAAACATGGCCTTTAGATCACGCTAAGCCTATATATTTACTGGTATGATATATTGATTGTATGAGTACTCGTGCAATAAAATTGAAAATATTGCTTTACTTCGTATTAAAATACGCATCGCTTCGCCGTTTGATCAGTCGTACACTTCCCTAACTTGCCACACACTTCTCAAGCGAAAAATTTCTTTCAACTAGTAGCCTGTAAAAGGGTTTGCACTTCTTCTAACGACAACCCGTGGTTAACAGCGGATAGTATATCGTTTATTTAGAACCCATTTTGCATTTTTTATATTTTCGTTATTTAGTCCATTGGTAGCATTTGACGAAACAGAAATTTACAAATCACTAAAAGGCCACAATGATAAAGACGAAAGTAGTTATTCAATTCTGTGTTTACTATATATAGGTATATATGTATAAAGAGAAGGAGCTCCACGGCCTTAAAAAATGCGTACCATAATAGTACTCTTTGAATGTTCTCTCTCTTCAGGGTTGGACTAATCAATTGTAAACAGCGAGTAGACCAAAGTTAATTTTCAAACAAAGAAATTTTATTTTAAAAGGCTATTGGAAGTACGAAAGTAAGGTAGAAGGATACGGATAACATCGCAGGGGGTTTCAGGAGGATTCACCTATTCGATTTACAAATAATCGGGTAAAAGGTAAGCTTGATACAAACGGAACCTTTTAGGATGTTTATAGGAAACGCTCGAAAAGACCGGAAACGTCAACGAGCTTCACAGGCCAATAAAAAGGACAGAAATGTTATAAGGACAGATCCTAAAAATCCGCAAAATAATCAACTCATATAAAGAAAACAAGTACCTTCTGCATTTTAAGCTACTGGACATGACAAAACATCCATAAAATCCCTACAAGGTTACATGCTATCAATGAAGATGATCTTGACAAGAGAACGATCTGGCAAATGGTACTTGACAACATGCGAACACGACGTTTTGAGGAAAATGAAGTTATGTTCAAATAGTGCGATTAGTTGATATAATTGCACGTTTTGGGTAACTGTGAATATATATCTAACGCAGAGACAGCAAAAGATACAATGCGGTGCGGTGTTTTCAATAAAGTATTGATTGCATTTTTGACTGTACATCACCCTGTGCCAATTACTTGAATCTACGGCAAGAATCTGTTTTAGCACGCATTTGGGAGGACTTCAGTGAAAACGGTCTGTACACTGTCATTGTGATATTAGAGCATACCCTGATGAGAATCTTCCAAACAGATGGGATGAGCGAGGCTGTTCCCCAGATCTGAAGCCAATGGACTTTTTTGCAAAGATACCTTAAATATAAAGCCTGAAAAATACCGTAAATATAAAGCAGAAGATCGGTAATACTCGAAAATATAAAAGCTGCAATCAGTTAGGAATGTGTGACAACATTTAATAAAATGCTTGCCGAAGGTCGAATTAATAGCCAAAACGGTAATAATCTTGAACATCTGCAATACCAGGAAAAGTATGTAAAAAGTGGAATCATTCAAACATATATAGTTTTGGAAGACGCTATATATATCTCGCAGTCTTTGTGTTCCATTATAGTTTATGGAATAGATCGGAATCGTAGATAGCAAAACAGAAAGAGAACGAAAAGTTCGGGCAGATAGGTTATAGATAATAGTTAGGTAGAGGTGAGATTATCATCTTCTGACTATACAGTATTTGGTTGCTCAATGATGTGCTCTGTTCTGTGCTAAACGTCCCAAAAAGACCGATCATCATCGGCTTTTCATTATAGCTTTTTTCCTTTATTCAACACTTTTATCTCAGCTATACATGAAAAATGACCTCCGACCAATCATGCTTCAACATGTGTGACAATAAAACTGTTATGATTTAATCTGATTTTTCGTCAACTTATGTATATCTAACAGTAAATACGTTATATACATTTTTATTTATACTAATTAGCTAGTTCTAGTCATCCATTTAGATCATCCAGCCTTTATCTTCTAGGCGATAAACGAGGGCTTTTCTCTCTGCTTCTCACTTCTACGATATATGTCTTTCTTTCGCACTATTTCTCTCTTCCTATACGTTTCATCACCACATCATCACCGTCAGCGCTTCAAAAAAGCATTATCTCATCGCATTGCTATTCTTCGGAGAGGTCATCGAACGAAAGCCTCCAATAAGGACCGCCTTTCTGTGCCATGAGACACGGACACTATGCACAAATATATATATATATATATATATATATATATATATATATATAGAAAGAGAAAGAAAGAAAGAGATCTATTTATTCGCGCACAGAGGCGCAGCATATCTCGCTTGTATGCGAACACATATGTAACATGCTGTTCGGATGTACGAGAATCTTTAACCATCTGTAATTTTTGCGTCCAGCAACATCTTTCTCTGGTTCGCAAAAAAGTACGCACATACTACACACATACACACCCCCAAATACAAATACGTTTTCGAGTCTTGTACATACGTCTTAGATATTGCACGCGTACAATCGTATACTGTATAGTGCACGAATTAACCATCTCACCCTTATACAAGATACCTTATTATTAGTCACTCATTTTAATTATCCATGTCTAGAAAACAAATCAGCCAAATGCGGCTCCGCTGCTATAACCTAACCATGGTAATCGAACTGGCAGTGAGGCAACCAGTGGATAAATTACTTGTTCGTAAATCAATTATCGAATGTATGTAAGTACGCATATATAATTGTCTCATTAAATCGCCAATAGAGAACAGCGCTACCGCGAAGCTTCACCGGTACGCTGCTCGACAATGAGGAATCTATTTCTTCTCATAGACTTACTCACACCGGAAGATAAATCAGTGAATACCATTTATGCCTACTCCTGTATATGTCTAAGAGTGAATGTCTCAGCTGGTGCTTCCATATTTTCTGATTTAGATTGACCGGCAAGGCTACCTGAACTTTATGTTGATCAGTTGTTAGCGTCCAGGTACAAAATCAGTGTCAGTTCCGTAATATGTCCGGTAACCTAAGATTAGAAAATCCCAAGAGATCAGATTAAGGGTTTTTTTTTTTTATATATATATATATATATACGTCGTTGATATTGCTATTGTCAGCATTGGTAATGTTTTTAATTTTTGCCCATCTTCTACATAATGTCGGTTTCGATCGACTGGTGTGACGAATGGAATCCTCCCGCCGATCCCGGGATGCCGACCTCGAGAAGTTGGCTGAATTGGCTTAGCTGACCGGGGCCAAGGTGGACTGCAGGAACAGGTGGCGTTGTTGTGTACGTAGCATAATGAACCAATGATGATGGCCGCGAATGACGTGACACGAGTGATAGGGGCGGCGATGGAGCGCCCGGCAGTGATTCAACTTCGTCCATAGCTTCGAGAGCTTCTTCGTCGAGTTCCTCGTCGTCGTTAAGCTCGTCGTCGCTCGCGTCTGGCGGAATGTCAACGGCTCCAGAGTACAACTGAGTGCTGCCTTCGTAGTTCTTGCTTCCACTATAGATCACAGGGTTCTAAAGATATCATATTAGATGGAAGTAAATGTTTGACTTACTTTCAAAAACGAAATCCTAGTTTTTGACATAGCCGGTTTCCGAAATGTAACGAAAAATGTCTATTAAAATTGATCGGCCATAAGGAAACCGAGAATTAAACTGGCACAGTTTATTAGATGCCATTGTTGTCTATGGGGGTACTTTCGATAGTTTCTATTTAAAATAACGTACCTAAGTTAGGATGAGCAATAAAAATCAAGTTCAAGGATGGGAGGTCCCTGCCTTAACAGAGGATCGAAACAATTAAGCCTACATCTAATACTCTTTCTACTGTAACCTATACTCTGCGACACCTGATCAGCGTAGTTTTACAATAGGTGCCTGTTTATGCTATAGGCTGTTCTCGCCGACCTGATCATCAGAAGGCGTCTTGTCGAGCAGCCACGTGTGACTAGCATGTCCACTGGTAAGTTTGTTGTGACCGAGGTTGGAATTTGTTGAGTTGGTGATATGCGACACTGGTGGAATAAAGTTACTGCTTCCTCCTCCACGATGATGTCCATCAGCGTGATGGTGAAACGGGTGCTGTCCTACATTGTCTATGTCTAGCTCTTCATTGATATCTTTGAGCGAGTCGTCGTTCGAGTCGGCGTAGTCACTACCCTGTCGCTTTGAACGACAACGAACGCTTGACGCAACGCATAAAACCACGAACAAAAGCGAAAGGACACTAGCTGCAACCATGTACATTGATGGGATATTGCTTTCTGAAACAACGTACCAAAAGTATCGTTCTTATTGTCAATGATGGTATATCACAGAGACAGTATGCAGAAATGCCAGTCGCAGTGTTAATAAAAACAACAGTTTGGAGTAAAAGTGGGGTAAAAAAAACAAGCCAAGTCAATGTCCGGAGGTTACTTTACTCGAAACTAAAATGTACATTAACTAAGTATTGTAAATTAATATGATGATCGCAAAATTCTGGGTGAGATATAACGAGTAGGCTATGCCGATGGACCTATTGATATTTAAAGACGTATCCGATTCTAACCCTGGCGTCTTTTGGCAGATACTTCAAAGGTCGGACTTTTAAGACTGGCGAACTATCTCTGGCAGATCACGTTAGATACTGGCTTGTAAACAAATACAAATACCCGTTTAGCTGGATGCAGATATATGCAGTTTGCTACAGCGAACATATTTACTTTTTTTTTCTGTCCAATTTTTGACCTTAAGTATCTCGTAACTTCTGGCTTTCATCAGATATATTGTACCTGCATCGTCCAATTTACTGAAAAGGCTTTCTATACTATCCCCTTGCTAATAGACGCTATATCTAATCTGTGTGCATTTTTTAAAAAGACTACCAAGCCAAGCTGTGGCCTCCACGGGTGCAAATTTGCCTCAACGGTTCTGCCAGATCGAACTCTGCTTAAGAAATTATAGATGTTGCTCTATAAATAATAATACTTTTCATGCCGAGATATTAGCCGTTTATAAAAGGTTTTCCTTGGTATCCATATGCCCTGAAGAGGCTCTCGGCTTAATGGGGACCGATCAACAGTGGCTACTTGATAACAATGAAAGTTCTCATCGAACTACTGTGATCAGGTATTGCAAGATTAAACGATGGCTTACATTCCCTTAATATCCGTATTTCAGTCCTAAGTAAGTTCGCTAGCTTCGATACCTTAAGAAAATCGGTTGGTGACTTGTACCACGTCTATCCGAACTTGCTCTAAGAATAATGGCGCAAATGTTAAACGTTTAGCCATCCCAGGGCCTGTGAAGAGCTGGCTCTAGTATATAAGTCATTATGAAGGCTACTTTTAAATTATTTAAAAAAAATTATTGTTTCCGCTTGTTTAGTTTAAAGGCTATGAATAAATACAAATGGGGGAATTTTGTTTAAACACCTTAACACAAGAGTAAATTCATTGTATATTTTGGGGGTGAAATTATAATATTAAAGGGTACTTTTATTTCCAGCGACCGATAGTTTTCTAATATATCGCGGCTGCTCAAAAAGTCCGCACGTTAACGATAACCAAGCTACTACTAATATATCTGACTATCTATACAAGGCTGGTCACTTATCCATGGATGTAGTCTTTGCCATATGCCTGGAGTGATTGCTACTTTACGAGTGTTAGTAAGAAGTGCCATGCCAGGAAGGCAGCTACACGTTTGTGGTGAAACCGTTATTAGAGCGGTCTGATGGTCCGGAGTGGACTGGGGGCATAAGTGTGTAAAGGATAGATTGACGAATTGCTTTTTGGGCGAGGAACTCGTCAACACCACATGCAGGCGCAAGGAAACCTGTTCCGTTGAAAATTTGATCACTCAGAGAAACGGTTAAGTAGTGGAAATGAAGAGTAAAAGGCCGGATATCAAAGATCGATAGCGAGCGGTTTTGAATAGAAAAACGAAGTGAAGCTGGCTTGTTTGAAAAAAGTGAATCATTTACCTCCAAATACGATGTTTATAACGCTCATTACGGTGCAACCGATACCGCTGCATGGCTTGTTAACGGGGGTTACTTTTGTTGGCACCGGTGATTGGGTGCTAGATGCGACTGTAGGTCGAGGTACGGATCGCGAAGTAGTTGGCATAGGAACTACAATAAACACACAAGATTCGTTAGTATGTACTTGTTGAAGCAAAGCAATTCTAGTCACGCTGTTACCTTGAACGTGAATTAATTAAGTAATGTCACCGTTCAACTTGAAAATTATCGGTTTTTTTTTTTACAGGAAAAATAGAATGTTTGATTTAGATAGACAGAACTTCACGACTTCAGAAGGTTACAGTTCTGAAGTAGCCTAGTTTGAAGTAATGTAGTTTTTTTTTTACCACCTCGAGCAATCTGCTTTAGAAATGCCGTCGAGAACATCTCATAGTTTTACATATTTGCTGTGACAGAAAATGGGTCTTCTTTCTCATACAGTTATTTTGGAAGTTTTTTATTATTTTAGACTGTCATGCGCGCTTAGCATGATGGTCTAAAGTAACATAAGATCCTCAAATCAATACGACCATACGTCGTAATTTAGGTTAAGGGATCGAAAACTAAAAGACTATTTGAAGCACATATCGTACGGCGGGAACTTTAAAGGTGCTGTCTCGGGGAGTCTGGGATACAAACGCTTGGGTTTTTTTGCGAAATGTATATTTTTTGAATGAATACCCTAAAATGTTTATTTCCAAACCCCTGTATTCCAGCTTATTTCAGGTTTAATAAGAAATACAGACTTGTTTTCGGATAGTGTCTCTATACATAAATAGAGAATATCGTGTCTGGAGTAAAAGACAGGTTCAGAAATGACACAGAGTTTCATTAAGGGTGAGTACTAATAATAACTCTTATTGCAGTCAGTGGATTGGTTACAGGGCCAAAGCAGGCATACATCAAAAAAAGGCATGAACCTGCAATTAGAAGTAAATGAGCGAGACAAGGGTGTCTTCATCCTTAAAGTCTAACCTGTTACTTTTATTTGTATCACAAAACTTCAAATTGACTTTATCTAAAAAATATACATCGTGTTTCAATTGGAGACTTTTTTTTTTGTTTTTTTTTAGCTGTAAACTGTGGTCTTTGCTCACTGTCCACTTCACGTTTTGAATGTATGTATCTCTTTATTTAGTTTCACCTACTATTATATTTTTAGGTATGTGCGTACATAATGAGCGCACAGTAAGCGGTAACAGTTAGGTAGCAAAGCAAACGTTCCGTCAGCTTTAGAGAGCATAATTTATAATAATAATAAATTATTGCGCAGATCGTGTACGAAGACATAGATAATAACAGCAAACAGTATCATTACGTATGGAAGAAAACTTACAAGTCGAACAGGGATTAGTGTTGTCGCCTGCAGTTGGACAAGCACATACATGACCCTGTGGGCGGTAAAGACAGAGATGCGAGCAGCCTCCGTTAGCCGCAGCGCATGTATTAGTACCAGTTTGTCTGGTAGCTGCCACCATTTTGATATCCATTGCGTTCTCGATGTCGTCGCGGATGATCAGCCGCTTCTTGCCACTGCTCTTGTCAGCGCGCTCGACACTTTTCGTCTGCCAGTCTGTCCAATAGATGAAGCTTCCATGCTGTCACAGGTGTCAATGTTGTGTTGGTCCGCGGTAAGTAGCCATAAGTAAAACGCAATTAGGATCGGCTGTAACAAGTCGCTTTTGCCATACGGACATTACAAACATTTCAGAGAATGCATTCTTTTACACTTTTTTTTTTTTTGTGAAAAGCTAAGACCTACATATTCGGTATAAGTCGTCTTATTACCGTTAAATGAAGACGTATTTTCGGGTGCAGCGTCTTTGCGCTTTCCGGTTGTAGGTGTGTGCTGAGTCAATAGTTAGAACTAGAACTATTCGGGAGGTCAAACCTGGAACTTATTGCTAGGAGTCAGAAGCCTCACTGCGAAACTCTTTTATCATCTTATTGTAATCAAGAACCAAGTCCAGTACGTAGGGTTCTGAGTAGCCAAACTAAGACAGTAGAGAACAAGCAGTGGGTTTGCCTACAACACCTATCATGTCCTGCTGATGTACTTCAATGCGCTGCGATGCCTGGGCAGTACAGGAGCAGTACAAGGGGAGATGGAGTCAGTCGGCGTTTCCTTGATCCTCAGGACCCATTATAAGGGAACGTTCGCCAGAAACCGGTGGCGACCAGCCGTCGAGTGTTTTGGTTTTGTCAAGCGTGACGGTGGCGTCGGGGTCACTTCTCAGTTTTTATGAGCCAGCTTTTTTTGTCTTGTGCTTACTGGTGCCGTCCGCCATTCCATTTTCGACGGGACTCATGCCAAGCCAAGCACTTTCTCTCTTTTTGTACAAAGGGTTTCGAAAATTAGCTCTGGGAGCGCGCAAAGCTGGGGCATGAACCGTGCAAATGATCTTTGCTTGCTTCTTATTTTTGCAACTAATGAAACTTTCCTTTCATTTGAATGCTATTACTGTCTGATCTGTCAATATTAACAGAGGAAGCGTTGCTATCTGCAACTGCCTACGTCTACTATGTATACTAGGGCGTCTATCAATCTGAGATCGAATGATCCGTCATATAACCACTACCGAATAGATGTCTAGCCAAAAATCGTCTACGGGCAAAGAGCAAAAAAAAAGATATGCGGGCCTTATTACAAACGAAAAAAGCATAGAGACTTCGTGTGTATGTGGGGTGATGCTTACGTTATTTCGTATTTTATTGACAAGTAAACAAAGACAAAAGAGGCTAGATAAGCAAAAAACACGGTGAAGACGGACATAATTTTCTGGCAAGTACCTGTATTTGCACGCGCTAATAGTGTCGCAAGCCCACACGTACCAGCGTTAACCCAAATGGATGTTCCACATCGATGACGAGCTTAGTGCGATGCTTTCCGTTGAGATCCGACATTTCGATGCAGTCCATTTGCGCGTCGACCCAGTAGATCCGTTTGGCCTCATAGTCTACGGTGAGCCCGTTGGGCCAACCCAGTTCGGTGGCAACAATCACTCGTCGGCTCGATCCATCGAGATAGGCCCGCTCGATCTTTGGTAGCCGGCCCCAATCCGACCAGAACACGTAACTAATAGGGCAAAACAGGAAAAAAGAAAACATACATTTTTACTCATCAAGTAATCAATTAGCATCCTTTAATCTGCATCTTGCATCGCCGCTGCAAACGGGTTTTTCCTGGTTACCTTAACATCATTTAAGTCGTTTACCGCTGCAACTGAGGCTACTCTATTCATGAAAGCAGGATTGCAGACAAGTAGTGATCACAGAGATGTGTGAGAACACACCTTTAACTTTTAGATTTTTCAGAATTCTTGCCTAAATATACAGGAACAGAGTTACGTAATGTTTCTTATCTTGATCTACCCGTTGATGCTCGAAACTAGCCTTTTACGCATTTAACATTTTTTTTTCAATTAAGATAAAATCTCTCAGGGCTCGTACCCTCACAATAGATATTTACCATCCTTAAATAACTGTAATGGTGCAATTCGACAATGTCACTCTTATTTCCAGTCCCAGTTACAGAATCGATATTTCCCAGATCAGAAACCACTCGTCGGATTCTACGCAAGGCTTTCGTCAGGAGGGAGTACACCGTCCCATTAAAGCGGAATGAATGGGCGACACGGAGCAAGCGTGCACTGCACTCTCCAACTAGCACTAGCTGAGATGGTCCACGTGCAACCCACAAATCAGAGGAGCCGTCTCTGCTTATCGGAATACTACTATCACATCACATCATTATCGCACGAGGATGACGGCTACGATGGCCACAGCATAAAAACAAGGTCATCCTACTATTACAGCCAGCATGACGGAGGGCGAATGCCGATGCGTGACATTCAGCAACCAAGACGTGATATTACTCAACGCAGACAAATCATGTCGGGGCATGAAGATAACGCCGTCGCTTGTATAAACGTAAAGCTATCCTATTGCTTCTATTACTCTTCCATCATCAACGAGTTCGGAGCCTTACTGGGCTGGGAAGTAACCCGATCTGAAGGGAAAAGGTTAGAGAGCTTCAAGTCTCGACAAATATGAAACTTAGTATTTAATTATCAAAACGGAGCCTTCCGTATGTAAAATGTTTCGGCTACTTCACACAGATTCCTAAAAATAAGGGCTTACTTAAACCTAAGCCTATAAGATAGATGCGAAAAAACCCGTGTCCCTTCGTAGATATGGGCAAAAATGCTAACTCCAGTAATATTTTTCATCAAAAAACAAACAAAGAGAGAAAGACATAACATAATAGCATTATCTTTGAAGTTGAGGTACGAATACTTTGGAAGAAGTAAAAACTTGTTGAGTTACGTCGTCAATAATTTTAGTCGATCATGCTTTTTTTCTGGTATGTATTATCTAAAGTATTGTTATGTACTTTTCTTAGTCTTATAATTTCATGTGGTCAAGATACCGTAGTTGCACTGGCTTTATGATTACAATTAAGCCGCTTTATGATGGTAACTAAACGCCCAAATCAAACTGATATAGAAATCTTCGGGCACTTTTACCCTAACTTTATGTAAATTCAGTCTATATCTAACAAATATTCGAGGCCATTGTTAAGTTCAATTGAAGGGTGTAACCATCAGCAAAGCGGTAGAGTTACAACAACGTACACTCACTCAATCACTATGGTAAAGTAAAAAGTAACCTGCAGGAAATTATCACTTCGACCAGCGAAACATGCCTTATAGCTGGTAGCTCCTGAAGGTGTATTTACGGCAATAATACTCTTGCTGTAGAAATCGAGATTCCCTAGTGTATGGATACTGCGTTTCGCAGCCATCGAATGATCTGGTTCAAATTCAAAGAGGATGCCAATCTTCTATCATTAAATAGTTACAGTCACTGAGTTCTTTCTATTTACTAGATTCTATTTAATTTCATTGTATACAGAATTAAATTCAATGGAAACTACGGTACTTCTATTCGTCAAATTCATCAACGTACCACATACCATATATAAAAGATACACTGTAATTCTACATATCAGCGAAATCTACCCTCTTTTGTAAATATTACCATTATCGCTTATAAGCTCCATAGCGCTTCTTTGTTACCTTTACCTAGTGATACTTCAGTTGCTGCTTGGTTGCTTCATAATTGAAGATACGTTGCTATCTGACTGAACTATACTAAACGCTGGGTTTCCTCTGTATAGCTTTACTTTTGTAAAGCAAGCAATTTTCACTGAAAAGTTTACAGTTTGACTAAAACTCTAAATCTGCTCTAAGTAGAACTTACCCACGCTCCGGAAAGAGGGCGAGCGCACGAGGCTCGTCAAGGTCGAGGTTGGTGAGCAGTTTCCGGGACGATCCATCAGCGCGGCAGACCTCAATTGTTTTCCTTCCCGAATCACTCCAATATATGTTCTTAGCTATCCAGTCGTATGCCAAGCCATCGGGTGACACAAGGCCAGAGCTCACGATAGTTTCTGTTCCACTGCCGTTTAAGTTGCTCCGTCTACAATGATCCGCATTCAATGTCCCGTACAACACGAAGATGACACAATAGTCGAACACTGTAAAAAACTTAAACTTGTTTTAGCTCCAAGCAAGCCGAGAAGCTTTTCAACCCTAAAAAGGTTTTTTAGAGACCTAGATGCTTCGTATAAGCTAAAAACCTACGTATTTAGGACTTTTACAACCTGTGTCTAATGTCAATACCCGAAGAGCACTGAACCGTGAGTAAAAATAGCAACCATGTGAAATTTAACATAAATAGCTTGGAATATTTACAGTAGCTGACAAAAAAAAAAAGAAAAAAAAACAACGTTTTTCAAAATATCTTTGTTGTTTGTCAAAATATCCGTATTTGATAATTTGCTATGAAATTTTTATGAAATAATTTCGAGTGTTTTTTCAGCGCGGTGTCATTATCTAACCAATCAATGACGGTCGTCAATTAAAACTAGCATTATTCAGAGCAGCGATTTGGCAGTTTCTTTATGTGTATCTCATCTTTTTTACGGCTTCTTTAAACGGATATTTTACTTTCTCTGTACAGGCTTCGTATTCGATGTCTCTAAAATCAGTCTCAATCAACTAATATTCTGCAAAATCTCGCCAGACTATGCGTTGCCTTATTTGCTCATATGAGCAGGCGCCACCCGTACACCTGACTGATATACGCTCTGCCTAGTGGCAAGCATGGAAGTATATCTACGACCTGCCGTAGGCGTAGTTTCTTTGTTCATATCTGCTTTCCGCCCTATTCACCTCCATCTCGTTTCTTTCGTCCGTGATCTTTCTGACTTTTAAAAATAACGCACAGTACAAAGGAACGGGTGCACAGTAGAGCTGTTCAAGCCTGAAGACATATTTCTTGGCAGTAGGCAATACTCACACATGCAAGCAGACTAGCAGGACAAATGGAAGGCAAGAACGGTTAAACTATGGAATGTGGTCTTTCACGACTAGGCAATAGATAGAGAGATACGTCACACGCAAGAGGGCACCGCTGCGAGCGTCGTGCGACCCGCCCGTAAAAGTTTGTCGTCATCAAAGATAAAATGAAACGATACTGACCTGATAACGTCCAACTTTACGTCGGTAAAGTAGAACTTTTTGTGCTCGTAGTCAAAGTCAAGAGCGACAGCGTCCTGAATGTCGGTAATGGGTAGTAATACGTCTGTACGGTCAGGAGTATCCATTGAGATGGTGTGTAGGTACTCACGATTGGCAAAAAGAAGTAGTGCCGCTGGAACTAAGAAAGAGCACTTGATATTATTATTTTTATTGAGAGAATATAAAATGGCCTGTAGGTCAGTTATTACAGCTCACTCAATACCAGTAAGATGTGTCTTGTTCGGAGCACTTAAGCTCACATGAAGCTACAGTAGATGACTTAATTGTACATTTTGCAATTGAGCTCTTTATATAATACATTTGCACTGAAGTTGAAGAATGCATACACGGAGTACGAAGTCTACGAAGAAGTGTCAGATGTTAATGAGCTGAACGGAGCTCTTAGTGACAATCAATGTTAACAAATTTCATTGCATACATTAGCTGATAAATAAACTTTTACCCATGAAGCGAGTTCGTGGTATAGTTATTTGTTTATTAGAGAGAACACCTTGTTATTTATTGTCTACTAAATTCTATCCACAGGCCTGACTGTACGCCCTTTTGTCTCTGTTAGGTTCTCGGATTCCATTTTCTCCTGGTTTAAGGGATTGGCTGCGTGTGCTGATACTACCGCTGCGTGTTGTACCCATTATTGTTGTGGGTGACAATGGTCATGGACTGACTTTACCTAAAAATCACAGGTTGGTTAGGCTGAAAAATTTCGATTTGTACGTCCTCCAAAAACTTAATTTATGCACGGGTACGATTATAGCGTACATTAGAGGAAAAAATCATATCGGGTTTTTAACAGCAAAAATTACAGCTCTTTCCAGTCAGAATCAATTTTATGACTAAAAACTTGTACAACTCCAGAACAGTAAATCTCATAGCAATATTTATGGTCGTCACCTTAGGAAGACGGCAGCGTATTACTGAAATAAAAACTGTAATTCCAAAGGTTGTATAACACAAATATAGGACCAACTCAGATTTGTACTCTAATTAGATTAGAAGAAGTTCGATGAAAGTCACAGACATCGTTTACTTGATTTTGATTTAGCCAATAGCTTTTTTAAAACAATCCACAAAGATCACACAATTTTTGAAATAGTAAGATGACAGAAAGAAGTATACGCAGTTTGGGAACGTTTTTGTGAGTACGTTTTCTTATTACAGCTGGCTTATATATATATATATATATATATATATATATATATATATAAAACCTAGAATAGCCCGTCGTCAACATATTGAGAAGCTTTAACTTTTACTTAGCATCACATAACGGGAATGCCTCTAACGCAAAGCTAATGGTGCCTAATGTCAATGTGCCTCGCATGTCCACAAAGGGAGATACGTTTCAACTCAACCATCACAAAGGAGTATCCTTTCTGTGTGCCCCCTGGAAGGAAGGAAGGAAGGAAGGAAGGGCAAATTTCCATACTACACATTCCACGTAGTAGGTGGTGTGATGTTTGTGGGAAGATGAAAAATCCTTTTTGCATTTGGTAAAACTCGATCCCACGAAGCAGGGTAGGCTTCGGCAGATTTCAAGCGAAATGCGCCACTCTCTCTCTCGTCGTTACGCAACGATGGATCTTGCAGGTATTTTCGATGCTGTGTACCTTTTCTTTTGTCCCCATATTATATACAGAGGATTAGAGAATGAGTTTTCCTAAGAAGTGGTACAATGCGGAATTGAAGCATGAGAACACGCGGCCAGTTCGCACAGACCTGCTGTCAAATACAGTTCAATAGAGTAAATTTAATTTTCTTCCGATATTCCTTTCAAGGTAAAACCCATTTCATTTTAAGATAAAATATGTTTATTTTGCTCAAATTCATATATATATTATAGAGCTCTTCGAAGTTTTACAGTATTTTCGGCGTTTGTTTGACCATTACTGATTTAAAGTTTGAACATTGAAATTTTTGCCCCGCTTGATTCGCTAGTCTTTTCCATACTTCAGCCAAATAGGTATTATTGCAATGCATATCTCAAGTCCGATTCATTTGAACTTTCTTCTCGGTAGAAATAATTTTTTGATTATACTATGTTTTGCCGACAACTCCCATTTCAAACAATTATGCTATAAATATTTGTGCTATGTTGTAAAAGAAATTCAGTGCGCTTCGAAATATTATAAATTATAATATCTCCTTAAATTAAAAAATGAAATTATCGAATATTTTATTTGGGCATTGAAAAATTAGTATTTTCAAAATGTCATACCACACTTAATAGATCTCGTGGGTATTATGATAGGATTATTACTTATATTTGGTCAAAATGTGACATAAAAATAAATATATCTGGCTTCTAATATAATTAAAATTGAGTAACATTGTGTTACCTATGATTATTGGAATTTGGGTAAGCAGGAGTGAACTATCGAGGTTTACCGTTCGACATAGGTATACATAAGGCCGCATTGCTCAAGTATAGGTCACAGATGCCAAAAACTATAAATAATTGGGAAAAGCATCAACTTCAATGAATAGCGTATGTGGACACTAATGGTTGGAAGTGCACCTAAATGGTAAAACTCAGCGTTGATGTAAAGATCTTAAAGGTCGCAATAGCTACGATAAATCTGACCCACCTTGTCAATAAATTACGTTCTTATACTTCCTAGACGTAACAATATTTGGTAATAAATCACTGTAAAACCGAACAAATAATCCCCGTCTATAAGTTTGTTCATTGCTTCAGTAACTACTTTTTTAAGAACTAACAGAATAACAAGATAGACGGCAATTAACTAAAATGAAACGTGTTCGGCATAATTTTACTGACTATCACGGGACGCAAAACTAGTTGATTGTATGGTCAAAACATAAATGTCCTTAATGTCTACAATTAAATAGCAAAACGTTTGTAACGACAAATTTCAAAGCAATTTGATCACTGACCTTCTATGGTTAGGCTTATGACATAGGCTTCACTATTATATTACGTCATCTGTCAGATATCTGAACAAGATAAACTTAGATGCAACATTTAATTCAGCAGCTACTTTGCTTTTTATACAAAATTTAATGTGGGCTCCGCTGCATTGCTGCATACGATTGAAATAACTACTCACGAGCATCGCAAGTTCTTCCGTCTTCCTGGATTTCGATACCTGTCGGGCATTGACAGGAAGTGCCACGGGGTGATGACAAGCAGAGGTGTGAGCAACCACCGTTTCTTTTTGAGCACTGGTTTGTTTCTGAAATAACGGTATAGCCCTATAAATTACGAGCCAACAATGATAAGGACAATGAAAACCGTTTGCGACGAAATCGACTAAAGTTAAAAACTGAACAAATTACGCTGTAAATGTGTGCGTTATGAATACTCAACACATGGTAGCCCCAGAGGGCTTATCATTATTCGGTATTTTTGTTGACTTAAATGGTGACTTTACACTCTTTGTTACGTGATACGAATGCTACCCTGTGAACTGCACGGCTGCGCAAATAGCGTATTGCAAGTATATTGTGAAAATCACACAAGCAAACAATACCACGTTAAAGTACTTAGCGAACTGTGTCCGTCCCAGCGGAAAAACAATATAGTTACATAAGTAACTTATCGTTTGAAAGTCATCTCAAAAGCTCAACTGGAGAGAAATCAATGCAGTGCCTGGAACAGGCTTTGTTCTTCGACCATTGAGGCAGCAACTCAGTGTGGTTCTCCTCTTCCGTTTGCGTTGCGGATGACACTAGGACTTCTTCGTTTTCCTTTTTTCTCGGTAGTTTTACATCGCTCTGAGTTCTGTCGCTAGCAGCTGAAGCTAATCGTAGTCGTAGTTGTAGTGATAGGAGCCGCAGTGTCGTCGAGGTCTTTTTCGAGGCGAGCTTTTTCGCGATTTCACTCTCTTTCGGCTCTTTGTAAGCGGCTTTTACTTTTTCACAAACTGCCAAATAGCAGTGCCAGCAGGGGCAAGTGAGGAGGGCTCATACATCCCGTCCTTCCTCTTTTTGTCCTGCTTTTTACGCTGCACCATCCCTGTGCCCACGCCGCCCCCGTCAACCTTCCTTTCAACAGCTCCCCGTTTTGAGAACTGTGTGACGTCATATCGGCGACGGGTTCGGCAACTCATAGAAGGGCTTGCTTCCGCTGCGAGGGGAATTGCTACCATTACAACGTCTAAGGCCATCAACGACTATTGCCAAACCTACGACGTTACTGAGTCGACTCCCGGACACTCAAGGGATGTTCATTAGTTACAGGTATCCACCAAATTTACCTTGACAGCCAGGAAGAGGTCTAGAATCTCGTTTCTTCTATTCCCTAGCTTTCTTAAATCCTCTGCTTCTGTGTCCGGTACTGTATTCGCTGTTTCTTCACTGACTGTGTCTTCATATTCTTCTTATGGCAACTTGGGCCCCTTTCCGTACCGGAAAAGCCTGCCGAAGTCTGTTTGTTTGTTTCGGTGCATTTTTTTCGTAGTCTCACCAAGTAGTAAAGCAGCTGGAATACAGCAGCAGTATGCGTTGCGCATTCTCGGAACTAGGTGGACCCGAATGCCCCTGCAGAAGCATGGAGGCAAGGGGAGCTGGAACCAAGCGGAAAAGAGCGGATGAGCTAGTAGCGGCTTCCATGTGATTTGTTTCAGTCGTGGCCCTACATTGCGACACCGCTAGTCGCCTATCCGGAGATCATATACCATCGACGTGCAAGGGTTACCCAAAGCAGGAGCTAGTAGATGAGGTACACGAAAAATGCGAGAATAGAACCAGTCGATTAAGACGATTCAGGTGGGTGGGTGAGTGGATGGCAGTGTGGGGCGAATATTACGTGTGCGCCACAGAGTGGACCTGTGTAGTGTGAATGTTTGCGCGTGTCGTTACCTTTTCGTTCTAGGTCGAAATAGTGGATATCCATGATAGATACGAGATTGCCTTTTAACTTTTCCCGAGGCTGGGACGCCTCGTGAATAGCTCGGGTTTGCCAATCGGTCCAAAACAATCTTCCGTTCCATACCGTAACGCCGTATGGGTACGGGAGATCTTTCAGCACAACCTTGCGGTCTTTGCCGTCCAGATCGATGCTCTCTAGCGTCTGCAATATGAAAGTTAAAAAATAATATGGCTTATCGAAGATCACGATAATCCTGATAATGCATTGCTTTCATAATGCTTGCATCAAGGACTCAGCAGGAGGTCCCACAAATGCTTAATCATTAGCGGTCATTGAACAATGTCAAAATATTTCTTTCGCCTATGACTAATACGGACAAATATAAAAATAATAATAATAATGGCAGATACATTACAGGGTAAAACCTTTTAAGATAAATAGTTCTTCAAATATTATCGCTAGGCGGGAAGATCAATGGAACTAGTATCAAGGAGCGTAAACGAGTAAAACTCTGGTAAAATAAATGTGAAATACATTACTACAAGCTTACTTTAGTAAAAAAAATCACTCTTACATCCAAAGCCTGCTTTGAATAACTGAAAAGGTGCATAAAATTTAATGAAAGTACTTCGCATTATTCTTGTCCCATATTGACATTTACCGGTTCGGTAGTACAACATTCTCAGGACACAATGCCTTGTCCCTGCAGGAGTAACTGACTAAGATTTCTGTTAGTAATCATTACAGAAATGTCCTAGTTATTATCAAGCCCTGTTTACGTTCCTCGCGTAAGGCACAAGTCCTGGCTACGAATTAGCTAGGAATAGAAGGAGCCATTTTCGACGCATAGAGATTCCCTTTTGCAACCCAATCTAAGACAGTTGCGGCAACATTCGACATAGGATTACTTTAGTAATTGGCGCCCTAGTGAAAAACCTTATTGTTTATACTGTACAGCTGTCGTCTGATGGAAAATATTCTCAACAAATAAAATAAAAATGATCCGTGTAGATCCGTTTTTATTAATAGGCCCATTCTTACGGACGTTATGAACAGAACGGGAAACAACTTTCCTATGCTTTAAAATGGCTTAATGAGATATAATTAGTCTAAGCAGTAGACACTGGCATTTCTTAGACATAATAATGCATCGATATATAATTAAATTTTAGTAGCGGTGGCCTTTTCGATTATTTGTACGGTATTAGATAATACTAACAGGCGTTAGATCTATAAACCACAGCGAAACCTCACTACTCCTTTGAACTTATAATTTCACCTTCATCTTAAAATTCGACTCCCTTGCACGTTCGATCCTCTGCTTAGAGATGCATCGACAAATGATAATAACGATGCTTTACGTTTTATGAAAACGTTTGTTGTCCAATTGGATTTTTTTCGTAAAGTTACTTTATTTTTACATACAGAGTTCACAACAACTCTTTTATAGGAGTGTGTAAATTTTTGCTTATTCTGCACATTTCGCCTACCTTAAAATATTAACAAAGGAGAGCAGATAAACATATTATAATATGTAAAATAAACTTTCTTGTTTTTTAATATAGTGACGAGTTTTTAATATAACGACTAGTTTAGGTTGCAGAATGTTGATATATAACATTAATATACAAGGATTTGTGTTTCATTTTTACATTGAAAGCTTTCATTTAGCAAATGAGGTCTAATAGAGTGAGAGGTATTCGTATCATAATTTCTCTGCTTGACATGAGTTATGCCACTAGTACTCTTATCTTTGAGTATAAATTAGTAAATAACCCAATGCTGGTTCCTGTTCCTATATAACATTCCTGTTCACATATATGTACTTATAAATGGACAACAGGTTTGACGAAACGAGGAAATTAGAATCTAATTGGTAACTTACATGTGTTTTTGCATCGGCCCAAACCAGTCGTCCGGCCTGTTTGTCCACAGCAATGCAGTGCGGCCAACCAAGCTTTCCACTAATCAAATTTTTATGATTTCGGCCATCTGCATCAGCACGATCTACACGTGCCTGATTACCCCAATCAGTCCAAAAAATCCACCTAGATAGAATAAGCACGCAACATTATATCCTACAGCAAAGCTGACATCGTAGTTATGCTTAGTGCTTCAACGGGTTCATACAATGTCGATGCAGTACTTTATTATAACAGAAGCCTAGATAGGACCAGGTGCCAAATTCATTTCTAATGATCAGTACAATGTTTTTCCGTGTGAGTTTTCTGTCAGACGTAAAAGTCCGCGAACTTACTAAATAGTTAGTAAAAATTCTGCAAAGTAAAATGTCGAAGCGGCTGAATTTAGTACCGGTTTATTTTAATACCGATCTTAGTTCGCTGGTGCGCGTCTACTGCACTAATATTAGAAGTAGCTCAAATTTAAAACGCTATGGAACTGTAGTTAGACGTGTACCGTCACTCCTTGTATACATATCCAACGAAATCAACCGATCCTTAAATATACAGTTAAACCTATATCTGTGATGGCCGCAGGTTCGATGGCGACGCGATAACATTTAACATTGTGTACTTATAGGACAAACACTCTATTCACATTAGGCCCGTAGCTTGCTGGTTCACTGTGTTAAGAGGGCCCGAATTGCAGTAAATTTAATTTACAATTCTAATCAATAAAATCTGCAAAGAGCGCATTTGTTTAAGAGAGTCAGGGTTTTGGTTTAAAATCATTTGTGTGACATATTCTCAAATGCTTTTGCCGCAGCTGATTCCGATTTTGCAAACAGATCAGCCGGTAGTCGTAGATTTGGTACTAACACAACATTTTTTGAAGGCCATTTTTACCAACCCTCGTGCGAAAAATAATCGTCGAAAATAAATGGAGAAGCATCGCTTACATTACATTTAAGAAACTGTATTAAGAACTGAGGTTTACAATGTCAAGAGATTCAAATTTGCGCAATGGACTTAAGCTATGAAAGTTGACCTCCCCAAAAAGTATTGTCACATAACAGATCGTCGACTAGACTATCCATATTTATGATAAAATATTTATTGAATCTATCTAACACTTTTCATTGATTTTCAATGAATACTTGATTTTTACAACACTTTTGGTAAAGTTGACGATTTCACGCTCGCGAGCAAGCTTAGAGGCTTAAAAGCCCATCCAAAAACGATCCTGACAAGTACGGAGCAACAGTAGTATCAATATGATATTGGTCTCCCCAAGAGTGTCTTCGGCAATTTCTTACTTTGATTTTCATATTTACATTATATTGTTGACCCGTTCTCTAGAATAGCTTATCGCAACTTTAGTTTGCCCTATTAACTGGCGCCGCGTGCTAAGCTCTCAGTCGGGCTCAATGCGCCGAAACAGAAATTCCGTGTTATGGAACAGAAAGAAAAACTGAGCAGGGGTTGATCAACAAATGAGAACGAAACGAAAAGTGACACCGTGGGCATACTTATAGTATTGTGTATTAACTCCATAAATTATACTGGGCAATACCTGATACCTGCCGTGCATGTCGTGCCGTACGTGCTTTCTCGTAAGGCTATTGGTTTAGCGACTGGGTCGACAGATACCGATAAATTAACGAAAACAGAGTGTACTGATTAATGCATTCCCAAAGACTTGGTGACCTGCAGAACAATATGGCCTTCCTCTATCGTTTGTTACACGCTAACCAAGGATCTGTCATGGTTGATGTTGCTTACCCTTTCTCTGGGTAGATAGTTATAGATCTTGGTGAGTCCATCTCCTGGTGCCAAAGCAGCACGCGCCGATACGATCCATCAAGTTCAGCAACTTCGACGCGCGGCTGATGTGGCCCCGCATCAGTCCAATAAAGTTTTCGTGCACGCGAATCCACTACGAGGCCGCCCAACGTCTCAATTCCAATTGTCACCACGTCGCGTACGTTAGCCCCGCTTAGATCGCAGCTTTGAATCTTGCGTAGGTTTCCGTCCGAGAAAAAGATTCGCTCTATAAACAAAGCAAAATAATAATACTCGTAGCTCTATGCAGAATGGCACATTCTATTAAGGCTATGTTTGGAGTTCCCCTGCGTGAGTCCAAGTATACCTCATATAAGACAATGTTCTGTTCGTTCTATTCAAAAATATAATGCAGAGTAATCGAACTGTTGTCAAAGTCACAGGTTCTTATCACAGACAGCGTTGTTGTATGAATCGGTTCCTAAAATTACTAATTTTTTACAAACTGGACGGATACGTTGCAAAACGTCTTGCTACGTTCCTTAGATTTTTATTGAATTGACAGCCGATCCCAATAAATTTAGTAGACAATATTCGTTTCTGAGAATCGTTGAATGGGAACTAATGAAACGATTGAATACGTTTTATCTAGATTGTGTAGTATCAAAACGTAGTCTCTTATTTTGTTAATTAAATTAGTTGCCATCTGTGCTTTGATCATGAAGACTTGTTACTCTGCGAAGTACAACCGTAGGTGTATTATAAGTGAACACTTTCAAAGCTGCTGAAACCTCATTTTAACCAACAATACAATCAATGATTTTTATCAACGTCAATCAGTCTGGAAACGTGCGATGCGAACGAGTGTATAATCCAACAGTGGCGCGCTATCTACCGTAATGCTGCTTGACGGTTTTTTACCGTGATAAAAACATATGTATTTTTTTTGTTGAACCTCATATAAAATAATACGATGGATTATGAGCTCTCAGTTTCGAGTACGGCTTGTATAATGCAGTAAATATGCCACTTATAAATACAGCTGATATTCGCCCCTTAGCGTTTTGTAATGTGGGCTGTTGGATATGATTGTAAATAATAAATAGGTTTTAAAAACCCTTGAATTGTCTTTCAGTTAGCGGGATGGTTCAAACTCAAGAAAGAACTTCTTTTTTTTTTTAAATTTTCGCAACGAAATCATTACGATATATTATTTTCATTCAAAGTTTCTCATGTATAGAGCTCTATATGTCTACCTATATACACATTTTTTAGCAGTCGTACTTAGTCTCTGCTACCAGGGAAACCGCACGTACGCAGCATTAGCGTGTCCTTCATTAAGTTGTGAACGGCGTGTCTGCACGAAACTATCGGACGCTAAACCTAAGTGTATAGCGCTCTTGTTAAAAAGCTTTCCGACTGGCCATTGCTTCTACGGCTGCGTGCCCTTAGCAAACTTTTCCAACGATCTTGCCTTCGTTGCAGTTATGTTGACCCTTGGAATATGTTTCCGGTGCCTTCTTAACATGAAGTCTTTGCGGCACAGACCTGCCCAGTTCGTAGGTTATTCGACCTTGTGCTCCTCGTAAAACATTCAAATGGTTTCTCTTTTTTTTTGAGTTTCTTTACATAGACACCAGTCCTTCACAACCTAGCCTTCTTTTCATACCCTGTTCTGCGTGGCAACTACATATCTAATGGCACGACCGGTATCAAGGGTTGAAAAAAGGGTGCCATACACGTACCCTGAACGGTGGCTTTTGTATTTTCGGCCTCGTCTTACAACCTTGGACAGCCAGTCATGCTCTGGTAGAACGGGGAGTCATTGCTGTTAGTAAAGGGTACCAGGACATTGGTGTATTGTCGGAGGCTGACAACACATCCGTTACCGGACTTTATTATCTAATTGCAAATAATAACTATTTATTAGTCTTTTCGATAGCTGTTGCTATATATATATATATATAGATAAGTTCGACTGTGTGTTATTGCTGGTTACTACGTTGTTTTTGATGACTCGCAACACCGTTTCCGAAACTCCCGGATTTTCAAAGCAAAAGTTACAAGTTTTTCTCAAGATGGATTTGTTTGCTGACCACAGGGCTGTTCAAGTTAGCTACAACAGTTTGCCTGTTTTTAACTTTTAGAGTCTCCTTGCAACAATTTAAGTTTCTTTACATCTTTGGGGCATTTAGCCTACTGTGAATCCAATATAATGCGATTCAAAGTAATACTTGATTGAGTTCCATACCAAGGCCCATACCGGATCCAGATTTTGATGGATGAGAGTCCTGCAATGCAAGAAATACTTGCAATCAAATGCAGTCAGCATAATGCATCCGATCTTAACTTCCTCAAGAAACATAGTTTAAAATGAATTTCCGTATGATGTTTTCGCGCACGCTATATTTGAGCTAGACCTAAATGTTTCGAGTTAAGATTAACAAGCAAATCAGTTACCCATTAAACTACTACGTGGACACCGGGCAATACCTCGACAAATCAAGAGGTACCTGTATAGCTTCATTCACAGATTATATTAAGAAGCCATTCGCAGACTGGGAGAAAAAATCCTTGAAAATGACCTAACCTATTCAGGCCTTGAATGAAAACCGGGATCAAAACAACAATTCTACTGATTAAACATGTCTGTTAGGGATATCTCTGGCGGCACATGCTAAAGGTATTACCTAAATTTAAATATATATACATATATGACGTTTGGACATAATGTAAAGGTAGTTTACATGTCATGTACTGCATATGCCATTTGTTATGTAAATGAAGATCGGCTGGGTATGACAATTCGTATCGTAGGCAGATATCTAGAACTAGCGATATTAAACGGTAATTAGTCTCTACGTTTGGGAAATTTATTACTTGTCTTATCTATTAAATAGAAAGAAAGTTAATGTGCTATGTGCAATTTATACTAAATGGAAAATACCACTTTTTTTTTTTATTGTTGTGACAACAAATTATTACATTGCATGCCCTTCGTCATCGTTCACATTTTTCTCCCAGATTTCCACCAAATTATGTATACCGTCTCATTACAAACTGCCCGGTTTCCTTTCGAATAAGTGTTCTAACCGCGTTTTGAGTTATCGATCTGTGTTGAAGATAAGGCCATGGAAATGATTGCCCAGCGAGCGGGAAAAATAAAAATCCGCAGGGACCGGAAAATATGTAACAAAACCTGCCATTCACTTTGCTGGCGGGTAGCTGTGACGATGTTTGGTCCTAGAACTAGAATGACCTGATTTTGTCTGACGAGCCTCTTTGTTTGCTAGACTCGATGAGAGTGGGCCGAATAAACGGGCCGATCAATTGTCATTCGTGCAAAGCGATTCGCAGTGAACCACAAAACGCAAGGCATTACTTTTTTTGGCTAGAAATCAGGTTAAACTCCGGATTTTGGCTTCTTTCTTAAGCCGACCATTGCGATTTCTGATTCATGTTGACACTACTTCGTATCACCGGTGTCAATTCTGTGCAAAAATCGGATACTATGGCCGCATCATGCTCGAGATTGGACTAAATGTTGAACTATAGCGCTAAGCGTAGTTGTTCTTGTTGGATTCAAGTAGTTCGTGAAATACCCAGGCTCCAAATTTCTATGTAGCCCCAAGAGATTTAAGATGGCTAATGACGGCTGTTGCTTATCTTTTTGGTCACTTCTCAACTTGTTTGACGGCCACCTTCTTTCAAAGGTTCGTTCAGATGGTCGTCATCAAACTCAGGCGGTCGACCAGAGCAACGGACGTCGTCGAGGTCCCGGCCGCCGTTTTCAAACATGGTAAACCACTCTCGAACAGTCCTTTTAGCGACAGCATCGTTACTGTATACAAGGCAAGTGACCCGAGCTGTTTCAGCAAGTTTGAGCTTCGGCGAAACGCGTAGTGCAGAAGGTATCGAAAATATACCTTTTTCCGCGTGGAACCTCCATCTCCTAGGAGTTCCTTCAAGTTAAAATTGTGCTCACAGCACAATACCGTTACAGAACGCTGATAGAACAGGAAACACGCTTTGGAACGGCGTACAGAAGTAAATAACAAATCAAGGGAAGTTGTCTAAGCCGCGGAACTTTCTAACTTAATATAGCTGAGACCCGCTGTATAGCCAGACTTCTGCCTGAACGAAACTAGAATTCCCGCCCACCATACAAAGTACATACTCTGCGCCAATAAATAAATTCGTTATTAGCTGAGAAATCACAAACTTGGCACCTTGTAGCCAGCTAAAAAACTATACGGCCAAGGTTTCAAAAGTAAAAGCTATATGCGCTCAATTATTGGACCGACTGCGCAGCGAGTTACTGATTGTCGCGTATCCGCTTATTTCATGCATGAAACCTTATTTCGCTTCGCGCCGCAAACCAAAACGCCTCCCTTGATTGTAGTTAAATAAACATGTGTCTTGCTTCGTTCGTGCACGTAGAAAGCCTAATACACGCAGGACGTCTACTTCGGTAAACAGGAACCATGTTGCTAATGAATTGCTTCAATTACATGATTTGGAATAATATTTATGTCAGAAAAAAGGTATACTTTCCGTTTTGTTTGGCAGATTTGACTTGCCTGTCATGCGTCCTTTGGTGCATCATAAGTGATAACTAAACGTAAAGAGGGGCAAGCGCATCTCAAATCAATATGGAAACACCTAACATAAGTTAAATGAGTGCGTTTGGTGTATCTTTATCGAACAACTTAGAGCTGACTAAAGTGGGATTTGCGGGAAAGAGCTTATTAGTGTACGGAATAACGCCATCGTGGGCGACCGACTTGCGATTGATTTATATAATTCATTCGTGCTGTAGAAAGTAAGTTGATTTAAATTATATATATATATATATATATATATATATATATATATATATATGCATTATGTTTTACAAAAGAGCTCTTATTTCATCATTACGAATTATAGCTATGTCCTCTGTATGTATAGGCATACGTAAAAGCAAAATTAATGACTGGAATAGCTACTTTATTTCTTTCAACAAACAGCCTATATGTGTGTGGTTGATATGTATGAACTGGGACCGCATCACTTCGTTATCTAAGTCCATGATAAAAACCGATGAGCTGGGATATTTCAACATCATTTGCCTAGGAATAATAATAGCACTATTGCGTAACAGTGACGCAGTGGAAATTGCTGGTAGCGGACGCCAAGAGAAAAACACCTCATCCAACTTAGAGACGACCTTTCGAACGTTAACAGTCAACAGATAAAAGCCCCACAAACTTCTTCCGCATACTGAATAAAGTCATTGAGATTAGCAGAATAAACACATTCAGGACAAATGGGTGGCCCATTATTTAGATTCGCTGTCGAACCCTGCTGCAGACAGAGAGACCACAACATGTAGTTCACAATAAAAGAAGGCCTCAGGCCGTATGGAGCTTCCAGTTCCTCCCGTAGAGGGAAAGCCACAATGAAGCTAGCTTAGCCGAACTGAGTTCTATCACGTTATAGTCAAGATGAGCTCGATATTTAAAGAAACTCTTCGAGCTATTTAAGAAACGGAAGAAAACGGGTGCTAGAAACAACGAACAAAAAAGTATTTGATAGGCATGGCATTCAAATACCAACAGAACAGAACGATAACGTTCTATGGCGGCTGGCGTTTGTCAGGGCTCGATACCGGGCTCGATCTTAAGGAACGTCGTATACGACGACGTATTGCACTTGAAAAATCTTCAGCGGGGCGCTGAGTTATTAGTCTACACAGACGACTGGGTGGTCACGGTATAATCAAGGACGGCTACAGACCTGGAACTTTACGCTAAGAAAACGTTGAAGGCAATCTATGAAGAGATGGCAGCAGCAAGGCTGGAACTTGCTCCAGTGAAAAGAAAAAGTTTTGCCTACTGGAAAGAGATGACACAAATTAAACTTCAATAACTGAGCAGAAACATGAAGATGGTAAAGAAGGTGAGGTATTTAGAAGTCTATTCGAATGAAGGCTTTAAAGGAACACTCCATGTTAATATAGCCGATACAAACAGTAAAATGGAGGGCACAGTTGCAAAGTGCTATTAAATATCTACGACGAGCTGGCAGACGTAGACCTTTGAAGTCTTTTGCAAAGTTAGTAAATTTCTTCGACTCCCCAGTATGGTTAAGGAGGTTCGCGGAATCCAAAGCTCTTAAAGCCCCTCTTTTTAAAACTCGTAAAATAACGGGGCTGCGCATCTCGCAGTCACACAGCATGGTAGACACACCGGTGTAGTTGATCCTAGTCGGGATGCCACCATGGGATTTGAAAGTAGCGAAAAGAAGTCGCCAGTGGAAAAATGGCCTAAATGTCTCTTAGAAGATTGAGCGAAAATCATTCTTGGAACCTGGCAAACGGGGTAAAGAGAAATACCGGCTAGCCGAATGGGTTTCAAACTACAATATCTGATACCACGCATCGGAAAATAGCTGGATTGACCTGGTGTAAAGGTTGATCATTACTTGATACATGAAATAGTTCAATCCCACTTGCAACTGAAGTGGCCCCTTCCGGTACGTGTGTGCACTGAGAGTTAAGAACAGAAGGTACGCTCATCCATATGCTATTCATTGATTAATAGATGACTAGAAGACGCTAAGAACAGAGTAAAGTAGATGGTAATAAACAGATGGAACAGGGGCAGTATGCGTCATGCTAGATTTCTTCTACGGCTTCCAAGATGTTTAGCTAGTAGTGATACTAGTAAGAAGTGGGAGTCGAAAGCGGCTACGGTAGAAAGCTCTTGAAGGAAAAAGAATGCCTAGGCCGGCAATAGTGGGCGCAATTAGCGTTCGAGACTGCACTAGAAACAGGCGCTCCAGATTTGCAGATATTAGGGCTTCACACGTCTGAGGCGACGGGGAGCCCAAGAGTAACTTCGGCCCATTGACTCTTCCTGCCAATTTGTGGTACTATTCAATAAAAACCCAGGCCAACAGGAAGTGAAACTTAAGGCGGGGGAGGAAAGTGCGTTAGTTGGAATTAGTATCGGCGGAACCAAATACAACTGCCGGGGCTAAGTCCGCCATACGTTGGATATTTATGTATCACTCAATCCCAACTGTGTGCCTTAATGTATTAAATCCGCCTACTAAAAAAATGTCGCTTGTTTATAATAAGTGGGTTATACATAGAGGACGAGGGTTTTACATGCTTTGCTTTACATTATAGAAGCGACTTGTCTAGCCGCCCTAAGAAGTAATGCGTTGTACCGTAAATGAGAGATGAGTAATACGGCTAATTAGAAGACGAACGAAGAAACATGCACAACAGTATGAAAAATACAGAGGACTAATCAATGCGCAGTCGAAAATAGTCAGTAGGATCGTAAAGATGAATAGTCCTGTTAGGAAATATAGAGAGCGTCTACCACCAGTCTATCACTCTAACCACTAATATACAACTGTAAATCTAATCTAGGCTTGCACTGTCAGTCCATTCGTCCTACAAGTGTCTCTTACTTACTCTTATCCCAATACTAATAATAATAATAATTAAATAAATTTGTAATAATAAATAAATAAAATTTGTTTGCTTATTTAAAAAGCTAGGCAACAACCGCCAATGGTCACAACAAACTCACGTCTAATTGAAAGTAAGTAACATACAGTTCCTAATAAACTACAGCCATGGAATAACTCGAAGCTTGATCCTCTCACCTTCAACTGTGTCGACATGCAGAGCTACAACGTTTTCAAGACGTTGTGGGGTGGCAACAAGTACATCTGCCCAGTAAGGCATCTCAACACTCATAAGTCTCATTTCAGAGCGTTGCGAAAAAACGAGCATCTTACGAAAGGCGTCCGAACAACTCTTGGTATCGTTGAGCAATGCGGACCCTGTTGGGCAGGCGCACTCACATCCTGAAGGGTTTCCCGCTGACAGAAGGCACTGCCGACTGCAGCCACACTTGTCTAAGGCACACGAATTTGGCACTGCAAAAAACAGATAATAAATGTTAAGCGAGTGATGGAAGCATACGCCTTCATAATTTAAATACAAAAGGACGGTTCGAAGGTGGATGGATGGATGGATGAATGATTATTAAAAGAAAAAAAAAAAAAAAAAAAAAAGTAACGAAAGCATAACTGGAGTTTTGCTAAAGGTATACAGGAAAAAATATATATAAACCAATAGCTGTCGGCCGTCAAAGAGATACCAAATCAAAAAGCTGAGCTACATATCTACTTGCTCTAACATTTACAATTTTTCCTAAGCATTTATGCCCTTCTACCTTCAGGTCGCTGTCTGTGGTAGATGATAATATTGTTGATACCCTCAAGGCGATCGCGGACTAGACGACGGTCTGCACCAGTCTGGGCATTTGCAGATTGAATCATGTGTTTTTCATAGTCACTCCAGTAGATACGGCCTTCGAAAAAATACAACCCAAATGGATTTGGCATTTCTTTTTGAAGAAGGACACGCCGCGTCATCTGAAATCAGAACCGACGAAACAAATGAGCCGATGAAAAATATCAAGTACTTATATATATATACTGTATATATAAATATTCTTTTTGTTAATACTTTGCTAAGCAACATACACCGCAATCTGAAAGAGCTTATAATAGCTCTATACTTACATACCACACAAATAATTATAAAAGGAACTATGCTTTTGCGCTATGCACAGATGTTTCCAATGATTTCAAACTTTGTGAAGCTCTTTACTTCTTAAGTTATTTGGTGATAAAGTGTTTAGTTAGGTCGGCCTTTTACGCCCGGTAATTCAAGCACTGTATAACTGAGTCAATACGAAGCAAGTCGTCAATCAGTAAATCAGAGGCCAGATCGTCATGACCATTTCATATAATAATTGCAAGAAGCACTTTACAACTCTTCATTCATTCCTTCATTTATAAAATTTCACAATAACCTTGCAAAACGTGTTCGACCGGGAGGGCTGATATAATGTCCTCAACTACGAGTCTACGTTGCTATGAAACTGTATTGCAGTTTTCGATAAAATAAAGAGCTATTACGAATAGGCTTTATAGTGATGTAGCTCCATCGGAATATATAGCAATATACCGATGTATTCAAGAGTCAAATTGCTTACGATCATGACACCCTAGCAGAATGTTTCACCCATTCCTCTCTCTTGTTTTCCCGTAGTATTAAATTAGGACATTAAACCAATACATGAAATGTTACAAATACTACCACCTATTGCCAAGTGGCCTATTGCTCAGTCAAGTCCTTTTCTCGATTCCCCATTCTCAACGGTACGGGACAGTGGCGAAAGGGTGGTATATCGAGAAGTCAGGTTACTGAATAAGTTCTCTCACGGCTTTATGACGATTCATCGATTATCATGAGAGCAGAAAGGGCGCAAAACAACGAAACAAATTATGATAAACAGTAGCAACATCACCAAGAGCGATTACGGATTAAACATTTTACGAGACGATTTTTGCCTCTCAGGTGCCTCTATACATAACTCACGTTGTGGTTTCTTAATAAAACCCCCGCCGTCTTAGAAAAACACAAAGTGGATAATTTTTTGGCAGGCCTTTACAACCTTTTATTCGGCCCGATGCAGAGGTTCTTTCAAGCGCCTGTCAGATGGTGTAAGTACATGTAGATTTTTCGCGCATTAGTTTGCATAGAGGGTAAATGGAGGAGATGAAAGGAACGTAACAGGTAATAAGGCGAAGGAAAGGCACTGCGAGCGAAGGCGCACCGTGCGACTGTACGGTTGTAAAGCTTGCTAATTCTATCCATACTAACGCTGGCTTTGCTTCTCGCCGGCTGCCAACAAGCTACGAGTATGCTGATTTGGCAGCGTAGTTGACTGCAATAACTTCTAAGCCAACTTGCTGGCATGAGGCTCCGGATGAGGTTGGCCATCGTTGCACCGTGGCCACGACCAGTACGCAGCTTTGCCATGCCTAGCACGGCGTATATTGTATGCCGTGCAGTATGTTAGTCCGTGAATTATACGTACAGAGCAAGCGAATAACAACCGATTGGCTGGGTGCATTACTTGAGTACAACCCTAACCTGTAGCATTTGGCCATGAATGAATCTTTTTCCATAGGGGAGAATAGGAATTAAAAAAGACGGTGAAGCTGGATAAGAAAACAGTGATCCACCCTTCAACAACTCATTTCATTTCTGGTTACATATTTCTAGCTTTCTTTTTGTGATTAAAACTTAAAGCTTCCTCACATATCGCTCAAGTTCACTTAAGCTCTTGTAGCAGACACTAAAATTAAAGAACGGACTGTCTTATATTTGATTTAGTACTTATTATGCAGTTATAAGTATATGAGATTGATCTAAATACAACAAGCAACAATGAAGCAATGAATCTCGTTTGTAGACGAAGTTTACAATCTCGGTGAAAGAGAGGAGCTGGATTTATTTTTACCAGACATTTTGCGTTTGTTTCCATAATTTTCACTCAGAAAATTTTTCATAAATATTTCTAATATGATTTGATAAAAAATCGAAGGTGTGCTTACTGTTATAAAAAAAATGGCATCTTAATCATTTCAAATCTTCGGTGTGATGTGTCATATGACTTATAATAACGTTCGGACACCGCTGTGTCTGACCATTTGCATACTAAATTGTTAGTTATTTCATTACCTAAAGAGTTGATCGTTTGACGACCCGTCACATTTAGGCTACTTCTCGTGAGAATACATAGAGAACGTTATCGACTGAAGTGATTTTATTGATCTGACGATCCAACTGCAAGAACTCATAGTAACAGTCTTCATCTGCTGCGAGGAGTTGCTAGTTTTAAAAACATCTATCGCTTTTTCTTAACGTCTCGAATGTTAAGTGTTTAATGGTTGCTACTTTGGACAATACTTGTAACATCGCTAGACAAATAAATTAAAATACTGCTTACGTTTCAGATTCTGGTAAGATGCTACGTTGTATCGAAAAAAAGATCCCTATTAAACTAGCACATACATTAGGTTAGGTAGCATCACAACGCTTAATGATAAAGCCACCCGTTCGCATCCCTGAAATCAAATTGAAAACGTTTCGTTTTTTCGCCCCCCCCCCCCCCCCCTACGAAAAAAAGACTTGGTCTAAATTGAAAAACACCCCGTACAGCATACATCGCATATAATACTGTTACTACATCAAAGCAAGCGTTGGCGGAAGTTTGGCAATGTGCGTTCTACCCCTAGTGATTTAAGACATGCACAATATGTGAGGCCATAGTGTGATATATAGTAAATATGGTATTTTGAGGTGCCCTATTTGTTAAACCTCACATATGTTTATGTACCTAAGCATATTTGTCGCATTAATTAAAGTCAAAATAGTGTTCCTTTCAATTCAATAGCCCTGCATTCAAAGCTTGTAATTCAAATGACCTTAGCCCGAATAAGAACACCCTGATAGCAACCGGTTATCTGTAATATCAAAGTTAACCGAGAATCTCAGCCTCTCATTGATTCTGTTTCGCACCCAAATTCTGGAAATAACCTTGATGATATTCGGCCTAGCGGATGTGATTCTTCCTCCCATGTGTATAGTATGCCAAGCATACGGATTTATTGCGGACCTGTAATCTTGAACGCTTATTTAACTTAACCAAGCCTTATTTCTGAACTATAGCTCTTATTCTTAAAACCCGAAATTATAAAGTACACAACACTTACCGTCGTACAACTAAGAAGACTAAAAATGGTCACGTTTACCCTAAGTTTGATCCTACTGGTACGAAAACCTGCTGGCTTATCAAGGCTGCACTAAAATGAAAATGATAAACTTTCCTTTGCAGTGACTGCTTCAATGATTACATTCCTACTGCTGGCATTGCAAGGTGCTTTAAGTAATTCTTTGCCACCCTGACTATCAGATTCAACCGTGCCTCGGCCAGTAATCAATGTCTTAATTGTTCCCGCCAGAAGGTCCCTATCTGCCGTATGCTTTGTTCTTTCTTTCTCTAGTTCTTATATTAACGCCGTCAACCTAGTTTACGTGCCCAAAGTGCTTCATCAATCAATAGGCACTTAGTGTCCTATTCTGGCGATCGAATTTTTCTTTCACTTATCCACCTCCATTTGCACTTTGATGCCTTAGTTTTAGTCTGACCTCGTAACCCCAACAACGATGAAGGCCATCTTTGGTCCTGTTACTGACATGGCTTTTAGTGAGCCTTCTCAACAGATACAAGCTTATAATCCATGCTCAAGCATGCCTATCAGGCCTCAGAATAGTTCATCGCGATACAGCAATGGGTAATCATGTTGCTAAGCCTTAACCACGATATATTCAGTTAATTATCACATGGCATTTTTTAAGGAGAGCTCAATAGCTTGGTAGCTATTCATCAAACAGACTCAATTTTGCCGAGATGTTTAAACCCCGTTGCAAAAGATGTTAGTCGAATTAATTCTGGGTCTGGTTCTCCTTTTACTCCGCTCTTTAACGTGTTAACGCTAATTTTGTTATTTCTACCCGAACATTGCAAGTATACTGTCTAGGATCAGAAAATACTCTCCCGCTTCAAATATCAAAAGAAGAAATTTCTCTTTAATATTTCTAATTCAAGTCTACATACAATTCAGGTTATCCTCTAATATTATTAAGCCGGTACCAGTGTCATGACAGTTCAGACTACAGATATATTTAGATAAATCCTTTGAGTATACTATGGAGTCAACTTTGCTTAGCCTTGCGCCAAAATACACTCGGAATACTTTTATCAAGGCCCTGTTTATTTCAATCCATTCAGGTTGAAATACTGTCAACTAGTTTTTCACAAGAATCATATCTCGGTGTCGTATCCTGCCACTGTGCGATTTAGAGGAGAACGAATAAGGATGTTACCAAAAAAAAGAAAAAATGTCCCACGTGCGATATCTGGTCACCATAGCAACCGCTCAAGTCTATGACAAGCATATATTAGAGTCGTGTTAAAGTGACATGATTGTCAACAACTGGTCGCAACGGAGATGCTTAACATGGTTGGCATATACCGTCGTTAATCTCTAATTAAATTGGCAAGCAGACGAACAATTGACGTGATATACCCGCAAAATTTTCCAAGAGTATTACGTATATATAATATAGTCGTCGCTTGTTACCCTTTTTTATGCGCCGATTCGACGCATTTACTACGTATTCAATGTAAAGTAACCAAACAGTAAGTGACCCATCTATTCCAATTACAGGTGAAGATCATCAAAGTCTGTCCTTTATATTTATAAGAATTTAGGAAGCGAAAGGCGCATTACGAGCAAGCGACAAATGTCAATTTGAAAACCAACCTGTGAAGCCTCTAGGAGGTTAAAAATCATCTCGGATCACTAACCAAGCCGATATAGTTCTGGAGTTATTATCCTGGCGTGTACCGTACAAGCGTGGAGTTGTCGCTCCAAACGACTAGAGTAGTGCAAGTGTCAAAGTTCGCTACGAGCTAAGATGAAGTAAGCTGATGGTGAGGACGGAGAACAAATTC